TATGGATAAAATCATGAAGATGACTAATTGGGCGACATCTGCCGACTTTTAGTCATCTTTTCGTCGACTATATTCGTTTTCTAAAAGATATCTTTATAACTATTTAGTCACCATTTAATCATCTTTTAGACGACTTTGTGCTCTCTGGGAATGTTCTATATTACATATAAAATAAGCGTAATTTTACTAATTTTAGCCTTATATTATATACTTTTATGAGTAATAAAGTAAAGAAGTAAAAGCTTATAGTTCTTTATGGATTAACATTATGAATGATTGTACATTACTGGCATAATAACCTCAACATATTGAATTATATCATTTTAGAATTTTTCATAAAAAAATATATTATGTTTATATATATTAAAAAGATATAAAAATTCACCATGTGACCATTATGTCGATCTATGTATAACGTCATATTTGCTGTAGTAATATGATAAAAACCAATCTTGATAATAGGCTAAATACGCTTTCAAAATTGTAGCTTTCAAAGTTTTTATGGTACTTATTAATTAAAATTAAAAAGTTTTTATTTTTTTAGAAAATCAAATACGATTAGATCATTTAACCAAGATGACGGAACTAACTTTGAAAAAATTGATACCCATTGCTGGTGAACGCTTGGATTTTATGGAACATTTGCGACTATACAAAGAAAAAAATACAGAACATGTTAGTATTAAACAGATAATTGTTAAATATGATGCAATAAGGACATATCATTAAATTTAAAATGAATTTTTTTTTAGATTGCGACATTTACGATACCAGTCATTGAAGACGCTACAGCAATCACTGATGTATCTTTTGATGCAAATACAAGTAAGTATCTAGAAAATAATTAAATAAATTTCTATACATGGATCTGCCAAAAAATATTACATATTGAATATAAGAAAGAATTTTCCCATTTTCTAATTAATATCAGGTTAGATCCTTTAATGATAGTCTTTTCTTTAATGACAGTCAACATATAATAAGAAGTGTGCTATACAATTTTTTCTTATTTCTAATATATATAATTCTTTTAATTGTATTGTCTCTATGTTCTTTATTTTTGAAAATGCTAACATTATAATAGCTACGCAAGCTGACATTGCATCAGATCAATCAGAAACTTCCAGTTCATGTATACAGGATGAATTAAGTGATCCATCTACTTCGCAAATTACAATCTTGAATGAACCTGTACAAAAGCGACAACGTATACAGAATAATTCATATGTAAGTAAATACGACATGTATTAATACATAAATAGTAATGTAACTTGTTATAAGAAAAGTAAATAAAAAAAATAAAAAAATCCTCTTATATATATTATAACTTTTTTTTACAGGATTTATTGGCTCTATTAGAATCAACTACGTCAGGAAGAATGATATTAGCATACTTCAATACACATGCATGTCTGAACGATGACATGCATAAACTACTCGCGAATGAAATTATCAACAACAAACTATCTAACAACGTTCATGCTCGGTAGGTACTGATATTTGAAGACACGTTATATTTTTTATCAGATATAAAGACTAATTTCAATAATTTGGTTACATTTGTTATGTTTGTTTTTAATAGCATGCAAAACGAACGGGTGGAATTTCTTATTCAAGAAATAATAAAATGTTTTCCATCTGAAATAGAAGTAAGTAATTATTAATTATATGTAGAATAGTTTACAATATCGGTTAAAATTAAATTAATAAAATATTTTCTTTTATTTTTGTAGGTAATTTGGAAGGGAGCATTTGGTGATAATCATCGAGAGACTTCTATAGGAAGAGGTAAACTGTTGCGAAGATACTACAACATACGTAGAAAATTGCGAAAATGTGGTGTTTTAAAACAAGAATTAAAACATGCTACAGAAGATTCTGTTAGTTCAGGTAATTTAAATATTAATTGGAAATCATTCTTTTCATCTGTTTTTAATACACGTATTTAATTACAGTTTTGTTTAATCATATTGATTTTTTCAGAAATGGAATGGGACGAGGATTTTGCCTCGGATAATATACAGTAGTTGAAGAATAACAAAAAACCATGGAATAAAGTTCAAGAATTGTGGAGAATAACTAATAAAAGTAGATTGCGATCGCTCCAAAAAGAAACTGCTGTACATGACTATATGGACATGTTTCCTGCTCTAAAGCACGCAAATGGTTATCTGCTAGTATGTATATTTTCTAGTATGAATATGGCAATGTTAAACATTTTTAAAAAATTATAAAATAAAATATATTTCTTGTCTTATATAGTTGGAGCAGGATTTTGAAGAAATGTATCCCAATTCTATAATGAAATTATGTACTGAGTGGCCATTACTTGCGGCTTTAATAAAAAAGAAATTAATAAATAAAAAAGAAATAGAAAACATAAACAACTCTCTTACTCCAGGTAGATATGTCATATTTTCTTTTGATTGTATTATTTTTAATATTTATTTATTGGTCTTTTACTTCGAATTTATTTATTCTTGCAAATGTATTTTGCTTCATTAGTTAAAAAGCATACATTAATTCTTAATCATAGACTTTTAAGATAGATCTCTCTTACTGAGGTTTTCACGTTTTCAATGGAAGCACACAGTTTATCTTATATAAGTCTATATATTCTTAATATATTCTGCCTTCTTGATATTGCAAGATTAATGGTCTAGAAAGCCTATGTGATTGGCCATTTTTTTCACATCACGTGATTCGAGATTTTATACCTTCTAGTTATGTTAAAATTGAGTTAATTAATCCTTATTTCTCTATAATATATGACGTCATACTTTTCATTTTTTTAAAAACTTTACATTTTTCTCAATATTTGAAAAGATAGACTTATAGAATACAATTCCTTAAAATAATGTATTATATAACCTGTAACAATTACATATTGTGCATATAACCTGTACTTATTACAGAGGGCAAAAAAGTGAGAACATTGCTCGCTCTAAACTTATTATTCACAGTAGTGACTACTTTGAAGAGAAAGAAGGAGCAATGGCGACCTTCGCGCCAAGCGAGTCACATGAAGCATTTCCACTTGTTGTAAAGGTGTGCATACAGTAATAAAATAAAATGTTCCATAAAACTGAATTAAATTATAAAGAACTCAAAAACTCGGGAATAAGGAATCAAGTTATCACATTAGATACTAATTAGTCTAATTGATTTGCAAATCTTTGCAAATATAATACATGTTTTACTATAAATGAATTAGAAATTTATTTTACTATTATTGTACCAAAAAGCAAATGTCGTGATTTATTTTTAGTACATAATGTATTATTAGTTAAGAATCTCATTTAAGTAGCAAATTTTGAGTTCTGTATGAATTATTAAATAAGTTTAAATGGTATATTAGTTTATATGATACACATATATAATATTTTATATATATGTATGTATATGTATGTATATGTATGTATCTATATGTATGTATGTATGTATGTAGGAAAGTTTGAATGGTACATTAGTATAGAAGTTTAAAATTTATCTGTATTTCTAGAGTACAATGGACATTCAGCCATCATTAAACTTGAGGAGGGAAAAATATGCCAGATATGGATTTAATTTGGGAGTACATACAAGCTGTGATTGTTGATGCAAATGTTGATAACATTACACACTCCTATGTCTTTATTAATGAAATTTGTTACAAAGTAGAAACTCCATTTAAAGCAATCAATATAACATTTAAATCGATGTATGCATTAGACAGTAAGTACCCAGCTGAATGTACCAGGGAATGGCAATTTTTGCAAAAAGGAGTATATCTCAAGCGACGAAAATATTTGTGATCTTACAGTGTTAGCTTTAATGGAAGAGTATTCAAAATTTAAGGCAAATAATTAACTTCATGAATAAAGTGAAATTACAGCAAATAGACTGTGAATTATAAAGTAATAATTTTTATTTTAATATTTAAAATATAAAAAGTAAGCAATATTTTATTTTTAAAAATTTTTGAAACTCTTCTTTATTTCAAAAAGCGCAAAATTTGTTTTCTTTTCTAAAATCATGTTATATTGTTTAATGTATTTGTAGTCTTCCAATCCGAGCAACTTGTAATAATTTTTAGTTTTAAGGTACCTTAAATAATCACGAAGTTACTTTAAGTTATATTCACTTTTACTTTTGCAATATTGCAAAAGTGTTCTTGTATTTTTGTATGTAATATTATATCATTACTTTTTTTTGTCACAATGATTTGCATAAAGTGTCATTGCTGCAGTGAATCTTTCGGAAGTATTGATGCTCTTCAGGTTCATTTTTCTTGCTTGCTTTCATAAAGCACCCTACTTGTACATATTTTAGATGTACTATGGAAGCATGCGGTCGTTCATTTAATATATGGAATTCATTTAGAAAACACTTGCGAAAGAAGCATAATGTGCCTAATCGTTTCAATGATAATAATGTTATAGATTTTACACATTGTAACGATCCGATTATAGCTTCCCATACAAGTATTGTCCATGAAACGGAATTATTCGATAATACATTAACTCCAGATTTTCAGACTTTATTGAAAGTACATGCTGATATTCTTATACCTAAAATAAATACAAAACCGGGTCTTCCACGTAATCTAATTAATTCAATAATTGAAGATATTTCTACCTTTTTTGGTGGAAGTTTTCTTAAAATTTTGAGGCAAACAGTAATAGATACACTTGTAACCTGTTACGCACAAGTTGAAAATGTTTGCAATATTGAAAAAATGTTTGAATCATTGAGCAATCCATTCCATCAGTTATCTACGGAATATAAGCGTATGATATATTTTCAATCTACAGGTACATATGTATCTCCAGAGACTTACTGCATCGATTCTTGTATAAGAAAAAAAAGAACAAAACAGGGTATAAAATCACAAATGACATAAGTAACTGCACAATACATTCCACTCAGACACGTTTTAAAAAAGTTCTTTGAACTACCAGATGCCTTTGATAGTACGATACAATACATACAAGAACTTCAAACGGAATCAAATATGATTTATAATTTTGTACAATGTCAAAGATGGAAATATGTAATTACTAAATATTTTAAGAAGTCGGATATTGTGTTTCCACTTCTGATTTATTATGATGATTGGGAACCTAATAATCTCCTTGGACCGCATTCAAAAAAGATAGGTTCAGTGTATGTAACCATACCTTGTTTGCCTCCAGAGTGCCAATCCAAGCTTGATAATATTTTTTTAGCTCTTCTGTTTTATAGTAATGATAGGAAACAATATGGAAACAAGAAAACGTTTGCTCCGTTGATTAATGAGCTTATATTTTTAGAAACTGAAGGAATAAATATAAACATTAAGGAAGGACAAAAGAAAATTTATTTTGCCACGGGCCTATTAACTGGAGATAATCTTGGTATCCATTCCATGTGTGGATTTGTCGAGAGTTTTTCTGCTAATTTTGTATGTCGATTTTGTAAGGCATCAAAATTTTTAACTGAGATTCAATATATTGAAGATTCAAGTTTACTCAGAAATTCTGAAAATTATTACAACGACTTAGCTATAGACAATGTGAGTCTGACTGGTCAAAGAGGAATGTGTTTTTAATATCGTACCATCAATAGATATTATTGAAATGCCTTTTGTCGATGCAATGCATGACTGTTTAGAAGGAGTGGGACACTACTCAATGATTCCTATTTTGAAACATTTATCTCAATTAGATCCTTTGTTTTTAGAAATGCTTAATGAGAGAATGTATATGTTTGATTACGGTCCTTATGACAGCCTAAATAAGCCACCTTCTATAACTCCTGAAATATTAAACAAGAATAAATTAAAAATGACAGCAAATGAAATAATTTTGTTTATACGTTTATTTGGAATCCTTATTGGAGATGTAGTCGATAAGAATGATGAATTTTGGCAATTGTATCTTTTGTTACATGATATGTTTAGCATAATTCAGGCGAAAAGACTTCCATCAGACGTGGGTCATGTTTTGCAGGATTTGATAAAAGAGCATAATCAATTATATCTTAAAATTACTGCAGAAAAGTTAAAACCTAAACATCATTTTCTTTTGCATTATGCCAGGATTTTTAAGTATATCGGACCGTTTGCTAATGTATCTTGTATGCGTTTCGAAGCTATGCATAAAAGACTAAAAGCATATTGCACTGCATCAATGTCAAGAAAAAAATCGTCTCTTGCCACCAAAATTCAGCAAACTTTGTGCTATAGATTTATAATACAGTCCAGTATTTTATCTGATCCTATAATCGGGCCAGGAAATATTCAAGATCTTTCTAAATTATCCCAATATTTATTCTTTCACTCTACCCTTCCTGTTTCTCTGAAAATGACTTCTAAAAATTTTTGTATGAAATGGGTTTAATGGAAAAATTTTCGATACAAACTTGGACTTGCTCTCATTGTAGGAGTAGATATTTCTGGAGATTTGCGTTTTGGAATTATAAAAGTTATTTTACTCCATGAAAATCAACCTTTGTTCATATGCTCACCTTTAATTAATATAGGATTAAATTCTCATGTCAGAGGTTATGAGATAGGAGATGACGAAGAAAATAACAAATGGTTTTGTATCAAAGTTACTGAACTTATTGATTATCAACCACTTTACTATATCAAATGGCAAATGGAGAGCAGTATATTGCTTTGAAGTATTTTTTATAAAAATGTTAAATTAAAAATGAAAAATCTCTTTTTTCTTCGTCACATTCTACTTTATAATAATTATATTTTTTCTTTATGTCAAAAGTATAATATTCTTTTATTTTTACGAGCATCCTGTAATATATGATCGACTTTGTTTATGATGTACCTTCTTTTATATGTATCAGAATATATTATGTACGTTGATAATGTGTTTTGTTATTATTCTTTAATTTTTTATCTAGATATGTAACAAGTTTGAGTTAAAGAAAATAAACAATTAGATTATGATTGAATAACTCTATACTAGATTGAATAAGCCTATACTTATATTAAAGTTCTGCTGTTATTAAACAAGTATGCTTTATTTTGCAATGTAACTTTGGCAATGAAATATTTGCAACGTGTTTAAAAATGTATTGAAAATATAGTACATATTTACTTGAACAATATATTTTCAATACTATCAATATATTTTGAAACGTACACTCACGAAACTAATTATCCGGACAATGCGTTAATATATCGGTGATTTCTTCAAACTGTTGTTCAGATGTTATTTATATTAAACATTGTATTTATGTATTTAGATAAGTAATTGTGAAATTATCAATGTTATAATACGTGGAATCACAATTTTTAACACTTGGAATTTTTTTTGTTATCCGGACAATAGATCGGAATCGTGCAA